CGCTCAATCAGGGCATCCTGCGCCGCCCACACCGCGCGCTCTTCCTGCCCCTCGTCCTCATCCTCGCCCTCGCCACCCTCAGCTGCGGCTGCCGCGCTGGGCTCGCTGCCCAAGCAGGTCTCGAGACAGTCCTTGAGCTGCTGCTGCAGCAGGGCGCGCGCCGCATACGAGGACGACTCGCTGCCGCCATGACCTGCGGGGTGACGAGAGTGCGTGGAAGGGGGGAGGCTTTGATGCTGTGTGTGGATATCAATATACAGCACCAAAGCAAGGCGCTTCCTTGGGGGTGCGAACCTGCAGAACACAGCTTCTGTGCTGACCAGGAGGGCGCCCTTTCAGAATTCCAATCAGGCAGCAGCTATGCTGGGGTGCTCACCATCAAAGATGCCGAACGCCGAAAAATCCGCGCCGGCTGCGGGACAAGAGAGGGGTCGTGGAGGGCACCCCAGCGGCGGTCAGGTCCGGACGCCGAAAGCAAGGCATGGCAGGCACACTGCAGGCGCCTGGCTGCGTCCCCTAGGGGCGCCTCGCAAGCGCTAAATCAATCACGCCCATGACCTGCATGCTGGCCAAGAGCCGACAAGCCGCACCTGGCCACCCCTCCGGCTGCCAGGTGTTGCGCATCGCCTGCACCCATTTGTCTTCGCCCTTGACAGCATGCTTGGCCAGGCCAGCGCGCAGCAAGGGGCCACGTGCCGGAGGTGCCGATGCCGATGCCGCGGCTGCTGATGTGTCGTCGGCCAGAGCAGCCGCCACACCTGCTGCCTTGGGGCCTGCCAGGTAGGACTCCCATGCCGCGGGGTCAAACAGGCCGTCAGGGCCAGAAGGTGACCGCGCCAGTGCCGATGCGTGCCGCTGCGGTTCAGCCTCCTGCTCCTGCTGCTCAGCCTTCTGCCGCTGCTCCTGCTGCTGCTCCTGCCGCTGCTCGTCCTGCTGCTGCTCGTCCAGCTGCTCCCCCTGCTGCTGACATTCATGCTCACGCGGCTGCTCGTGCTTCTGACGCCGCACCTCTGCCGCCTTCCCATTTGGATGCTGATCTGAGGTGTCGTCGCCGCCTGTCGTGTCGCTCAAGGCGTCCTCGAACCGCTCGTCCTCATCCCCATCCTCGCCAGCGGCAGCAGCATTTGCGTCGCCCTCGCCACTGGACTGCGCCTTCTTTTTCTTTTTGTTCTTTTTCTTCTTCTTTTTTGCGGCGGCTGCACTCTCTGCAACGGGTGCGCCGCTGGTGGCTTCTGCCTCATCGGGCTGGGCTAGCTCAGGCTCCGGCGATGACTCAGGCGTGGCTGCGGCTGCAGAGGCTTCAGGGGCTTCAGGCGCCGTGGCTGGCTGGCCTGGGCAGGGTGAGGGGGGCTGCTGGTCCACTTGCGCTGCAGTGGTGGTATCCAGCCGCCCAACATCTTGCTGCCGCTTCAGGAGCTTGAAGGTGTAGCGGCGCTTCTTGCTGCAGTGGGAAGAGAGGGGAAAGCGCGGGCAGCATGGTTGGCTGGTGCAGAACACCAACGCGGACTGCCGCAAAGCTGGCTGCTTGCAGGCTACACGCAGCAGCAACAGTAGCAACAGTAGCAACAGCAGCACCTGCACATCTAAGTCCCTCCAGAGGGCTATTCAAGTACAATACAGAACATGCTGTTGCCGCATGGACACGCGGCCACAGCAGCAACGGCCCTCGCAACGCGGTGTCGTCGCACCGCACACCGCGCATGACTCAGGGCACTGGTCCTCTCCCCGACCTCGCAACAGCCGACGTCAGACGCCGTGGACGCCATACAAGCTAGTCCCACCTGCTGTACTTTGCCTCCATGTCCGGGTGAAAGGAGTACCCATCGAGTCTGATCGCGCCGAGTGCCTCGCCACCTTTGAGGTGCTCGAACAGCACACGTACGCCCTCGTTGGGGGAAGACTCGAATGAAAGGTCAAGCCTAACGAGTGATAGAGGTCAGGAAAGGCACCATGAGTACGGTGCCGGGACATGGCGCCTTCTAGTGCAGGACACAGTGACCCGTCTCTGTGCGCACTCGTTAGCGGGGCAAGGGGACTTGTCCAGGTAAGCGTAGAGCAGTGGCTCTCCTTCCAAGCTCAGCTGCGCCCGCAGACCCCCGGAGACCTCCAGCATCGCCGCAGGGTGTGATCTGAAGTGCCGGGGAGGATGTTGTGTTCGCTGCTGGTCTTCGAAAAACTATTCACGAGCTTCAGCGTCCAGAAGAAGGTGCCAAACAAAGCGGGAGCCTAGCTTTTGAGGGATGGGCAAGGGTGTGAGGTGACCAGCAGGCTGGCAAGCGACGCATGCAGTAGGAGTGGGAGCTGGCTCTCACCGGCTCAACAGCCCCTCGCAGGTCAGTAAGCACGCAGAATGGTGAGATATCAAACCCAGCTTCATTGGCAGGCCCTCGCACTGTGCACAGCACAGCAGAAAAGAAGTCTGCAGTCCTTCTAGTTCCGGACCAGGCAATCATTCCATCCAGCGTAGTTGTGGCAGTCCATGCGTGGTTCGCACAGCTCACAGCCTGTGTGCTCCGTGTCTGGCTGTGCCCCTTGAAGAATCCACTGCACACCCTGAAACAAGCACAACAAGCGCTGCATGTAAGGCCACCCCTCTGCATGCAGCACAGCGGGGTCGTATTGCTGGGGACTGTCGCGTGCCAGGTGGGTGCCTAGCGTGCTGTGGCGGGGGCCAATGGCACGCATCTTGCCCGTTACAAAAAGAAACACATTTACCGGTGAAGAATGCTCGCAACGACTCAGGCCAGTGCTCGTTGATCGATTAAGCTCTGGCAGCCCGCCCGTGCTTGGGTGTCAACAGGGATTGTCTCAAGCACAGCGTGGAAGAATGGATCTGCATGTTGATCGGCAGGTCTAGACGCGAATCCTGCTAATGTGGGTGTAAGATACACATTGTGAAGCACTCGAAACCGCTCGGCGCATGCAAAAGCCCACGATGCAGAAAAAACCACGTCATCATGTAAACATGGGATGTCTCATGGCAGCAGGGTCAAGTCAGTCAGAGCTTGTCGCAAGGCGTCACAAAGGTGGTTTGAGCGCGGTGGGGTCCCGCCAGGACATCCGGACCATCCTGCTGTTGGCCTGCCCAGTCTCGTATCCACCTGCGTGATCATCTGGGGTTGTTCCGGTCTCCCCAGCAACCAAAACAACATACGACCAGACAACCAAACAACAAAAAGACCAAAAGACCATCCAAACAAACAATCAAGCATCCAACCCACCGGACAGCAAAACATCAGACAACCGATCAACAAGCAAATCAATCAGACAGGCAGGAGCCATGTCCTGACCCGGTTTCCATATGCCAGCCCCTCCCATTTGGGTGAAAGCACCCTTTGCACCCCAAAGCCTGCTGGTGAAAAGAGATACCTTGACCCCCGCGAAGGCCTCTGCCTGCGACACCCCACAACGCCGTCCCTCGCAATGCTATTGCAGCCACGGGGCTGCCTGGGCGAGCGACATCCAAACAACTCCCCGTCACCGCCGCCACCCAATATTCAGGCTGACACAGGGTTTCCTCGGCGACATCTGGCTCCCGCGCCAACTGGCTGCGCCGCGCGCGTGGCGTGGTCCTCAGTGCACCGCGGCGTCCATGAAGTACCACCAGTGGCTGCGCGGCACGCCCTGGGGCCGCCGCACGTCCAGGTGGCAGGCCTCGCCCTTGAGGCCACGGATGGCGGCGTCCAGGGAGGACGCCTCCCTGGGGGGGGAGGGGGGGGGACGAGCAGGTTGCGAGGTGGGGGGTGAGATGTGGTGCAACAGGATCTGGGAAGGACGACAGGCGGCAAGCCGGGGATTGCATAAAATCGGTGCTCGGCATCCGACAGAGTCCCGCACGTCAAGAGCATCACCACCACCCAGGCCCTGCAGGGAGCCCCTGCAAACGTTCCACACGCACCGCTGCAGGCGGTCTGTGACGCTGATGCAGACGCCGCTGTCGGGGCCCAGGGGCTGGTCCAGCACAAACTGCAACGCGCTGCGCCGCCAGGGCACGTCCGGCCATGAGCTGAAGCCGCTGCCCCACATGTCGTACTCGCGAAGCGCGTCGCACGCGCGGCGCACGAAGCGCACAACTACCTGCAGGTCAGCGGCAGCAGCTGTTGGTTGAGCCTGCGCGGGCCCAGCAGCTCAAGGCTGCGGCCGTACAGGGTCGCTCTCATAACATGCACTCGCCCTCGCGTGGGTCTGTCTGTTGCTGGCTCGTTTTGCAAAAAGCGGGCGTGCACACACAGACTCTCACGCGCCCACTCACACACACACACACACAACACACAATACATCACGAGTGATGCACGCTGCGCCTACCTCGGGCCTGTGGGCCAGCCACCAGGCCGCATCCTCGCGAAACCGCGCCAGCTCCGCTGCCGCCTCTCCGCGCCGCACAGCGGTGTTGGCGCCCGCGGAGAGCGCGAGGCCGACCGTGAACACCGCCTGCATGGCCTCCTCCAGCAGCATGCCGGCCATGTTGCAGTGGGGGGCGGCACTGAACCCGTACACGTTGGCCTTGGAAGGCGACCCGGGGCCCGCGCCGCAGCTGCTGCCGCTGGCGCCAGCTGCCGCGCCACCGTCGCGCACGCTGGACGAGTTTAGCCGCACCACGCCGCTCGATGCGCGCAACGTGAGCGCGTGGTAGCGGTCCGCCTCACGCACAAAGTCGGCGGGCAGGGACGCCCGGCAGCGGTAGAGACGGTGCCAGTCGCCGCCGTAGTGTGCAGCGCTGCAACCTGGCCACCTGCGCAGCAGGCCGGCGAGGAACGCATTCGCCTGTCAAGAACGCGCACACGTGCGCTCATGGCCCTCAATTGGCCGAATAAGACAGTCACATCAAAGTTAAGGGGCCAGGCGAGGCCGATGCATCGCTTGCAGAGGGGCTGCAGGCGCACAAGCCACCCACCGTTCCTGCGCCAGCGATCGCCACAGGGCGGAGTCGCCGGCAAGAACCCTCATCCTCCGGTCCTGCACCAGCAGTGCCGATGCCTGGCGAGCATCTAAAAGCCTGCATGGAGGCCGGTCGGAATACGGGCTTCATCAGCGCAGCCCTGCTCGTGCTGACTCGTCGGTGCTGAAAGAGCGAAATCCCCAACTGTGGCCGCGAGCGCCCCCCGACCTTAAAATTTGCACAATTGCCTCTTCTGGAAGGTCTGACAGGCCAATCGTCGCCTCCGGATCGCACAACTGGCTTCCCATGTCGAGACGAGGGTGCAGAATGCTCGGTGGTTGCAATCGAGCCGTCTGCAGTGTGTTATTGGTGACGTCGTGGATACTTGGTCAATTGTTTTTCAACCCAAACAGTAATGAGCGGGTGCAGAGGGCCTTTGTGCGCTTTGACCTTGGCACTGCCCTTAGTTGGCCCCCTGCTGCAGCTCGAGCTACTTTGTTGACTGGCGCAGTTGGGCGCGGCCAGTCGAAAAACAAACTCAGCATTTTGATTAAGCAGATGACACACCCACTGGAAGTTGTCGACCGAAGTCAAGTTGGTTGCACAACCAAACCTGCAGTTTGAGATGTCAAATGTTGCTGTCCTGACGAACCAGACACAAAAAGTGCTTGGCGCTGACCCCCCGCCCCCCCCCCCCGCCGCTTGAAAAAAGAGCAGTGTGGCTTGAACGTTACCCCAAGAGCAAGATGGCGCCGTCCGCAATGAAAACATGCATGGTGCAGTCCAAAGCGGGACACAAACACTGTATGTGCGCGTGTGTCAAAGTAAACCCAACAGCCTTGGTCCATGCGCCCCAGCTACGCGATGCACGGCAATATCAATGTCACTCCAGGGCGTTGAGCAGCAGGCGCTGATATTTCTCCTGGTCAACGCTACCTACAAGCCGCACGTTTGGCCGCTGCTTGAGAACGCCGTTCCTGCGTGGATGGGAGGGCTCGCGTGCTCGCCGGGAGTGTCCAGGCGGTCACTTCACACACTGGCAGTAGCTATCAGTTCGTCAAGCGGGAGGCAACAACCCCCTTGGTCATGGTTAACAGGGCCCTCAGCCATCGCAGTATCACGAACCCTTCCTTTGTAATCACATGCACCCTCCCTTCAACCGCCTGCACCGCCTTGCACGCACCAATCAAAGACGGCCATGCCCCGTGTCAGAGTGCCTCTCAGCTCCACATCACAAAACACATCCTGAAGATTGGAATTTCCGGTCCGTCGGAAGTACGTTGTCATAAAGTGGCATACACCAACCTGTCAAACCCAGGCATATGACAAACAGCTGGAGTTGCATGCAGTTTTTATAATGACATCAATTTGATCTACCTGTCTCACCTTTGAGGTCAGCACGAGTTCAGGCCGCAGAGCTACTGCCACCGCCAGAGCTGAAGGACACGCAGAATCACACAAGGGTATGCGTGGGCGAGGTCCGGGCAGGTCAGAAACACAGCAGGGTGTACATGTGCGAGGTTTGGACAGTTTGAAGGCGTGGTCATAAGTGATGCATCCCCGGTGCCAGCCAGTGGGGGCAACAGCAGTGATTGACAGCCACGGTCACGGCACAGCTGGCATGGGGGTAGGGTCCCAATATCCTTGTGGCATGTTGAACCCAAACAACAATTCAGCCGCACCGTCACAGGCGCTCCAGCCCTCCGCAAACATAGTGCGCCAAGTGTCAAGGCCGAATTTCATAATGGATGCAAGGAATGCTGCCTTGGCAGTGCCGTGCGCAAGCCACTTCCCCTCGACCCAGTTCCAGGGCAGTGCCGAGCGTATGGAGGCCTCCCAGGACACGATATGGGTGAGGGGAAACTTGACCAGCACCATGTGTGCAGCCTCGGGGTCTGCAAGGAGAGGGGTGAATGGGGACCTGGGGCAAGGAGGGCGGGGCTCGCTGATCCTGTGTGTCAGCACCCAGCACGAAATCCTCGAGCCGACAGGTGTGCTTGCGCGGAGTGGTGTTCCCCAAACCGCAGTGGGCCGTTGCACGCACCGGCATACACATTGAACTCGGCAGCTGGCAGAAGGGTGACAGGAAACAAGGTGGGAAAGCGAGGGCGGGTTGCTGTGGGTGGAACGCGACCAAACATTGAGATGTCAAGTAGAATAGCTTCATCACCGATCGCTCAAATCGCGCGTCGGGTAAAGGAGCACACAAGGTAAGCTTCAGCATGCACCATGCAGGCCGCGGCAATCACGCGACTTACTGGGCGTGATGTTGCCGACGGCCTCGGCGGCCCCCATCACTGTGAAGCTGGCCAGTCGCGAGGGCAGGGAAGGGTCCAGTTGGCAGGCCAGTGCCACATTGGTAAGGGGCCCCAGCGCCACCAGGTGCAGGCGCCCCATGTAGTCAGATGCGGCGCGCAGCAGCGCCCCGCAGGCAGTTGCGCCGAGCTCGGGCTTTCGCAGTCGCGCGGTCGCCGCCGGAGAGATGTCTGGCACTGGATGCAGTGGTTGAGGCCAGGATCGGGCCAACACGTGAGCAGTTTTGACACGAGAAGAAAACACACAACCCTGTCTCAGCTCACAGCCTGCTCATGTAGCCATCTCCCCGTCCCTTACATGGCTTCGCCCTGGGCCCCCAGCAGCCAATCAGCCCAGCACACACAAACAACGCCGTCAGCACTCACCATCCCCTAGACCGTCATCCCCGTGGAATGTGGCCTCATATGTTGTGTGTGCAGCCACCAGTGGCTCAGCTGCACCCAGATATATAGGTATGTCATCACGCCCGCAGAGGGCCAGCACGCGGCCCACGTTGACTGCCACTTTTGGGAGCGAGGCATTGCCTGCGACGCAGCTGATGGCAATGACACGCACGCGTGGCAGCGAAAGGGCCAGCAGCAGCGCCTGGGCGTCGTCAATTCCAGCGTCGCAGTCGATCCACACCAGCGTCTCTTTGTCAGAGGGCGATGGCGGCGAGCCCATTCGCTGCGCATCTGCTGCCATGTGTCAAAGCCGACCGAAGTGCTTGGTCCAGCAATGTCGCGTTGATATAAGGGCGTTCCCGGTCTGCAGTGAAAGCTCAGATGTTGTGATCGTGACAAGCCTGATTTATCTCGAACGGCCCAGCTCAACGACTCAGCATGATCGATAGAGTTCAAGGCTGCGATCTACAACCACAGCTGACACTCCGTCTGTGCTTGACGCATATGCTACATATGATAGTGACAGTCCAAAGACAGAGTAGTCACCGGCTCTTCGGCGAAGGAAACCAGCGCCCGGACGACCAACATGGGCAGGACATGCCTGCTTGGATCTTCCCCACACTGGGCTGGGGTTTCCCTCAATTTTTTGAAACCCACACCTTACCCTCCACATACTACATGTGACTGGTGCATTTTCAATCGCGGTGATTGCGGTGATTGCGGGGAAGCATGTCGAGGGCCCGCTGCTCGTGCTGTGAACGGTGTGGCCTGTGACACCGCAGCGACTTCCAGTCGATGCAGGGGGTCCATCCTACGCAGGGGCTACCACCCTCACAAAGATGCTTTGAAAGTTTGTCTCAAGCCTCACGTGCAATCGTCACAAAACACTCCTGGCAGTGTGTGTTGTATTTACCGGGGCCACTGTGGGTCCAGGCACTTGAAGAAAAAAACCACACAATCAAACAAGCACAATGGGACGACAAATGCAACACACCTCACCGCTCAAGCACAAAAGGCAAAGCAGGCACACGCTCCAACGTCACGCGCGTGGCACAGCGCCAAAAACAGCCCTGTGCCTGTGATCTGCCTCTGCCGTGTACACTCCCTCCAGCCCCGCTGCCCTCATGGCCTCCTCCAGGTCAAAAGAGTAGTACTCATCAGACCACGGCTCTGGAGGTTGTGGCGCGAAAGCAAGGAAGTTTGGATTGATCTGGTTGCCGGAAGTGTGCAGTAGAGCGGAGGCAGCAGGGTAGGGATGAAGGCTGTTCCAAACAATCAGGGGGGCTGCAATCACAGCAGCAACGTTGACCCCTGGCAAGGCAACCAAGAAACGCGTGGATCCCTGTATCGTAAATCACACGTGGCCCAACAGGCAAGCAACAGCCTCACCCGTGCTCTTCATGAGGGTGAAGAGCGCCGGCGGCAGGTTCTGGATCGTCTTGCTGCGGGGGTTGCTGGTGCCAAGACAACAAGCGACCAGCCAAGTGGCATGCAGGAAAAGTAAGTGGGTGTGCGGTACACAGGTGTGCGGCACCAGCGATACCTTGCCAGGCGCCCTGCTCGAGCAAAGGGTCTGCCCAGACGCTCACTTGTCCACAAACACCATGACGCCGCCCGGCTTGAGGATGCGGCGCGCCTCCTGCACAAAGGCATGCAGCGCGGCCTGGGGGCACTCGTGGGCAATGAACTGGAACGCCACCATGTCCCAGCTGGCATCGGGGTAGCGCGTTGCCTCCGCCAGGCCGTGCTCGTAGGTTATGCGCCGGCCGCCAGGAAGGGGGTTTTGCCTGCAGGGGCACAAACCACGTGCGCATTGAAGCAGTTCAGGGGTGAGGCGCTCCAGCGTGCCCGTGGCTGCTTCGCATGGTCCTTGCAAGTGATCGAGGCCCATCCTCCAGTCGCCTTGGGGGGCACACCCCTGTCCACCATGCCCTCACCGCTGCTCGAACTCCGCCACCGCAAGAAAGTATGCGCTGGCGTCCAGGCCTGTGATGGCTGCCCCCGGGAACTCCGCCGCCAGCCAGCGCGTGCTGATGCCGGTGCTGCAGCCGACGTCCAGGATGGCCGCTGGCTCTGGCAGCCCGCGGCGAATGAGGTCGGTCTGTCGGCGAGAGGAAGGTGGGTTGTGGTCGCAATGCATGCCGAGGGTGTGCGCGCGAGCGGGCACGAAAGCTCAAAGCACCTTGCCTTTGGGGTAATTGGGCCAGAGGGCGACACTCAGCAGGCTGCAAGTCAAAACCCCGGCCCCTTGCACCCGCCCTCTCGACCTGCTGCCCGACTTGGCTCCCGGCCCCACACTGGTCCTTGTGCTCCGTCGCTCTTCTCAGCCCCCAGCCCAACCCACCCTCATTGTGCGTGTGATGCCCTGCCTGAGACGCTCCTCTGCGGCTGCAGCGTCGTCCATCTCCTTGAACGTGCGGCACGCAATGACAGTGGACGCCGGCCGCACCTCCGCCGCCGCAAGCCACTCCAGGTTGCCGTTGGTGTAGGTGTGGAAGGGCTTGAGGTAGTAATCTGGGTACGCCAGCCCGGGGGTCTCCAACTGCTGCCGCAGCACCTCAAGCTTCGGGGGCAGCAGGGCAGGAGGGGCGGCAGGCAGCCGGCCAAATCCACCGGAGAGGCGGGACGCATGTTGAACTCTATATGAATCGTGAAAGTAGCTGCGCAATTTTGCTTGGGCAAGCACTGCAGACACACCCGGCACAAGCTCAAGTGCCATTGTAATCATGCGTGTGCACAGCTCGCTATAGTGAAAGCACGCAGTCGTGAATCTGCTGCCACTGCTTAGGGTGGTGCTGCCACAGCCGAGGCCGCCGGCCCCGTCGTCATCACTGCTGCTGCTGCCGCTGCTGCCGCTGCTGCTGCCGCTGCTGCTGCCGCTGCTGCTGCTGCTGCTGCTGCTGCCGCCGCCGCTGCTGCTGCTGCTGCTGCTGCTGCTGCTGCTGCTGCTGCTGCTGCTGCTGCTGCTGCTGCTGCTGCTGCTGAATGGGGCACACCCCACTAATATCACGCGCGCACCTCAGGGTTGTTGAGTATGCTGTCCTTGTAAGCGTCCCAGTTGACGCCCTTCTTGGTGGCGGTGTTCTTCATGGCCGACTTGGCAAAGTACTTCATCACCTCCCAGACTGGTGGTGTACTGATCATCAGGTTGACCACCTGCGACAGGAGACGGTCGCCTGTGGAGAGCAGGGAGCGGCCGTCAGAAGCACGGCAGCAGCGCTGCGGACGCTTGGACCGCTTGCGCCCAGACACAGGAGCAACCCCTCGCTGTGATTATGCAACGCTTTCGTTAATGTTTGTTCCCTGAAGCCAGATCTGCTGAAGCCGTCAAAGCCCTGCTGCCACGCACCACATTGGAACGCGATCCGCACCAATGAGCGGTGCGCGCTTGCGGCAGTGCAGCAGTCTCTGGTTGTGCGCAAATCGCCGCAGCTCACCCGTCCATGCTGGCTGATCTTTTTCAACCACTCCTGAAGAGCTGCTGGCCCTTGCACGAACAGGCCTGGCTGTGGGGGCTTGTGCTTGCCGTGGCACGCCCCGGCTATGGTGAGAGCACGAAGCCCGGCAGCGGCCTAAGCTGGATGCGTACATTGTTCCAAGGTGCGTTTGTGGCCTTTTAAAAGGCTGCTGTAGGGCGTTCAAATGGCGGTCTTGATACCTTGCCGTGAAATGAAAGAATGAAAGAAGGGAACGAACGACACGCCGTAAAAACGAGCGTGACAAGAGATCCCGTCTTGACAAACATCCAAGAATCAAATCATACGCGATTGGACGCACGCACCGGTGCTGGCAAGGCCTTGTTTTGCTGCGGGTCGCAGCACAGACGCTGTCGCAGCGCGATGGCGCAACGGCAACCAGGGGGGCAAACGGCCAGGCGAGTGCCACAGGCTGGCTGAGGTTATGTTGTTGTGTTCCATTGGTAGATCTGCACGTAGCTGTGCAAGAGCGTGCAGGACATGTACATGCGCAATGCCGGGTGCGACTTGAGCGGTCAACCCGGAGCGCGACCAGTGGAAACACAACACGGTAGCTTAGCTGATAATCGGCGGACTCTGTGTGTGTGTGTGTGTGTGTGTGTGTCTGTGTGTGTGTGTGTGTGTGTGTTATTTGTGACCAATTCACATGTGCCTTGCGCCACATCGGTGCACAACTTGGGCAGGCTGCAAGCCCCAACCTCACTGTATTGGCCTCCCATGGCATGCTGGCGAGCATAAATGCCATCGCGTCAGGCATGCGGTTGGCACCGACCGGATGTGCGTGTGCTGTGAGAGCGCGCTCCGAAGCACGCATGGTGCACACAAGCTCACCGCGACCAGTGACGTGTGCAACTGTGATTGAGACTTGCCAGTCTCTGCCTTCCTTCCTTGTCTCCTTGATATGCACATGTAGGTGAGAGTCTATGACAGCATGCGCCATTGCATTCACACCTTGCATCTGATGCAAGGTTGACAACCTTGCGCTCTCACTGGGTCGTCACTGTCATGTCAGCCTGCTGTCCCCAGTCGAAACAAACACTTCCCCTCAAAGCTTCTGGTATCGTGCCGTTGTCGCACAATACGGTCAGTATAATTGTATCCCCTGTTCTCTGCAAGATTTGCGCCAGAGAGATCGAACCATCCGCTCGACACCCTAGTCCTGCATCCGCACGTGCCAGCGGCCGCGAGTTAGGGCTGAAGCGGGCGTGATACTCGTACTTCCTGGTAGTTGTCACCGATATTGAATTGGCACGACTGCCCAGCACCTTGCTGCTGCGCGCTCCCTGACCGCAACACGTCGCACGCGTGCATCGAGGCGCCGATGGGCCCCATGGCAGTTGCTAAGAGGGGCGCAGCAGCCAGGACGGATCTAGCAGTGGTGCTGGGGGCGCTGACCGGGGGCCTGCTGTCGTCCAGTTGCTGCATCGTCCAGCTGGTGCTCAACTCGCTGTCTGTAGGGTGAGTTGGCTGCCGCCGCAACGGCGCTCATTGGGGGCAGTCGAGCAGTTTCAACAACGGCGCATCATATGCATATTTGCATTTGGGTGTCCGGGTGCGTTCCCCATCCCCCCCCCCCCACACACACACACACACGCGCACGCGCACGCGCACACACACATGCCACACGCGCGCGTGCATGTGCTTTGGCTCCCCGCTGCGGTGTGCCGCACGGTCGAAGGTGCCGCACTACTCCTGTAACCTCACCCTGCATACACCTCTACCCTAACCGCCCACTTCAGCTGTGCGGGCTTCAGCGTGTTCAAGCCGTACCGCAATCTACTGCGCGTGCTGACAGCCGGCATGCTGGCACTGCTTCTCGCGCGCCACGGCGTCAACCGCCGCACCATCGGCACGGTGGTTTGCTCCGTACTGCTGACCTTCAGTGAAGACGCACTGAGCGTTATCAACCGTCAGGGCTCGCTGCAGGACCTGCTTCGCCACATGTCCCTGCCGCACGGCGGCGGCCACCCAGCCGTGCAGCGGGACCCAGCAATTGTGCGGTGGCGCGTCGATGTGGACGGGATGCGCTGCCAAGCGTGTGCCGCGCGCATCCGGGGCAGCGTGGCCGCACTGCCCGGCGTGCGCAACGCAACAGTCGAGCTGGCGGAGGGCCGGGTGGAAGTGTGGGCGGAGCATGGTGTGCAGGGGCAATGGCTGGCCGACGCGATTACGGCAATTGACGCCTCGTACGCTGTGAAGCTGGGCGGGCGAGAGTGCTTTGCCAGTGACGACCAGCCTGTGGCGTGTGAGGGCGGCACGCTGCTGGAAAAGCAGTCGCCAGCATCCAATGGCGCGACGAGCGGTGGCCGGCAGGAGCAGCAGCAGCAACGGCGGCGACCGGGCCCACCCAGCTTGCAGCAGGAGCTTTGAGGGAGTGCTGCGTAGGAACCGTCCACACCACCGTATGGTTCTTGCAATGACAATCACAGCGGCTGCTTTGCTGGACAACACAGCACAAGCACACCCCGTTTTGTAACTCTACCATCAACTGTGTATGTCAAGCGGCGGGGGGGGGGGAGTATGCGCCGGCCGCGGGGCGCATGGGTTACGACTGAATTTGGTTGTTTTCACTCTATCTTGTCGAGTCGCTGCGGGAACAACTGTATGGGTCGCGCACGCCCAAAGCACTGGACCCAGGGCACGTCTGATGAGCACCAGCATCGCGCTGCAATGCACGCACCTCCTGCCTCGCATCGCCGCATCTGTTGTGCAGTGCGTGGCGACACCATGCAGTGTCGTCGAAAAAGTGTCGTAAAGTGTCGTATGCATCGCCACACCTTGGTGACTTTTCTCAGCGTCATTATTTTCGTTCGCAATCATCATCTGCGCCGCTCTCTGTAGACGTACGGAGTTTGACTCGCGTCTGGAGATGGGCGATCTACAGTCCAGCGGTATTCAGCCGCTGATTTGGGACGTTATAAAGCTGCATGTCCCAGCCGCGGAGCAGGAGGAGGTGCGCAGTTGCCCGCGTGCTGCTGACGCAGCAGCGCTGATGGTGCGGTGAGCGGCCACAAGGTGGTGCGCTTACATATGACGCGTAAAACCGCAGCATGTGTTGCAACCGCAGCAGCCAATAATGCAAAACTCGCACACATACAGGTTGCACGCGTGGTTGGGCGTGACCTGATTCGCGCGAACGAGGAGGCCCACCAGGAGGCGGTGGCTCTGGCGGAGCTGCTGGACGGAGTGGCGGCCTCCAACGCAGTGGCCCTGCAGCGTCTGACACTGTGCAGTAGCCCGCAGCGGCGCATGGTGGGTGGAGGTATATCAGGATTGTTAGGGAGGGTGGTGCCATCATCGTGATGGTTCCACTTTCAAGTAGCCTGCAATAAACCACCTCTCGTGAGCAGCCTCCTTCCTTGCACCTGTGCTGCAAATTGATTCGATGTGCCGTTGCGACCTTCATCAACAGCTGGAAGCTGAAATTATCATGCTGCTGCAGCAACTGCAGCAGCCAAAAGGCGCAGCGTCAGGAGCGCCGGTGGGAGTGTCACTGGCTCCCGCCGTGTCGGCGCGCCTGCCCAGCCGCGAGAGCAGTGTCGCCAGCTATGTTGCGGCAGTCTCGCGGGTAGGGCTCGCGAGCGTTGTGTGGAGGGTGCTCTGGAGCGCATTTTTGGCAGCTTGGCGACTCCTATCGCAACAGGGAGCTCTGAAAACTGGCCGCAGAACACTGCAGCTTTCATTATGAAGTCAGCTACTTGCTGTGCATGCTTCAATGGCCATCCCTTGCTTTGTAGGCATCGTCGTCTTCACGGCCGTCAACCGCCAGCAGCCGACCAAGCACTGCCGCATCCTGGGGCAGCTGGGAGCGCGGCGATGCCATTACGGAGCGCACGGGCAGTGCAAAAAAGCGTGCGGCCGGCGGCTGCAGTGGATGTTTGGGCATCAGTGTGGGCTTGGCATCGGCGGTCCCCGGCCCTGTGGCGGCGCTGCAGCAGCCGCTGAGCGTGTTGACTGTGGAAGCAGTGAGCGGGCAGCTGCGGGCGGCGCTTGAATTCGAGGCAGATGCGCTTGCGGTGGCAGTTGAAGCGCTGCGCACTGCGCTGGAGGAGGAGGTGGACGCCCACTCGGCGGCGCGCGCCCCACCGCCCAGTGTGCTCGACCTGCAGGCGGCAAGCAGTAGCCTGCGCGCCATGGTCGGGGTCCAGCTTGGACTATCTGTCGGAGGCAAGCTCGCTGGCGCTCCAGCTGCTCCATCGGCAATTGCTGCCGGGTTGAATTGCTCAGCGGTGCGGCTCCTCCAAGTGCAGCCATCAGAGGGTCTCAGCAGGAGGAGCAGCAGACACTCTGCCGCCTCGTCAGAAGGCAGTGCAGAGGGTGGCAGTGGCGACTGCAGCGCAGCCGCTGTTGTTGTCAATGGCGGGGCGCCCAACGGGGTGCAGCAGAGGAGCGGAAGCGTTGGAGGCAGGCGGAACTACCACTTAGGCTCGCCAGCCTTGCTCAATTCACTGGCAGGCATACAGCTGCAGCAGATCGTGGCACAAGGCAGTGGAGGCAGCCGGCAGAGCTCGCTGTCGGCTGGGGTAGGTGCCGCTTACGGATCTGCTACGGAGCCAATGCGAAAGGCTGGTGCTGTCTTGTCACCGTTCTTGTCGGCCATCCAGAATCAAGGCAGCCCATCAAAAGGTGGTGGGGTGAAACGGTTGTTGCCTCCGCTGCAGTCTGCAAAACAATAGCTGCAACAACCAAGGGCTCGTATGGTTCTGCGTAGAAATGTTGCTGGTGCTGTCACGGCCGCTTACCACTCTGCTTGTACCAAGGCCGTCTTTGAACAGCGGTGATGCTGTCCTAATGTCTAAGAGCAGCCCGCTTTCCAAAGGCCAATAGATTACGAGAATATGTGGTGCTTGGTGAATGCGAAGACTCCTTGCACAGTTGAGTTGATTTGATTGTGCTGTATTGCCTATCCTTGAGCCGTAATGCATATTGCTTGTCTGTGAGTGCATCACAAGACGTAATCACTGCCTGCCCAGCATGCAGTGCCTGTTGAGACTCAAAAAGAGTGGGGAATGCTTGGCACCCCTTTCCGGAGGTTGGCCAGTGGCACAAAAGCGCAGGAGGATTCATACAGGAAGAGGTGCGGCTGTTAGGTGGTCCATGCTTTGGGCACCAAACAAACATGCATGCGACTCCACCATCACATAACTGGGTGAGTGAGATAAAATTGCTTGAATACCGAGTTGCCATGGCAACTCGGTATCCAAGCAAGGGCTGGTCAATGTCCTCTAAGGCCGGATTGACCCACAATCGCAGTCCAATGCCAGTGGGTCACTCTCTCACCAGCACAGCACGGCATGGACGACGGTGCAATTGTGGAAATCAATACAATTTCAGCCCTCTCTAGTTGTGTGTGCTTCGCAGCACCGTTTGCCTTGAGGTGCCCAAATGCAGCGGGATGGCGCTGCAATAGGCTCGCAGTCCAGTACACAAATGCCTAGCAGCAAGGATTTGCAGCTTGCTGCACTGTGCGCGGCAACAACAAATAGGCCCATGCTGTAGGAGTACGGATGGCTGGCAGCCAGTGCCCAGGCGCAGGTGCGGGAACTGCCAATTTGGATGCAGCGCAAGTGACTGCACAGGCGGCAAGCAACCGTCAAGAAAGCAACCGTCCAGCAGCCGACCAGTACGTTGAGGTACTGCCACCACTTGCCTCGTGTAGCAGCCCACCCACCCAGGCCAGTCATCGTCCACTTGCGTTTTCGCTGTGAGGCGCCTTGTGACCAGGATTTCATGCCCGACCCCCTAGTGCATCAAGCACGTCCGTGCAGGTCACGACCCCCACAGGCGCGCAATCTGTGTCAGTGATGTAGACGCGGTGCACGCGCTGCCGCACCAGCGCAGTCACCAGCATCCCCAGCGTTGATGTCGGCTGCGCGCACAGCACACGCCCGGCCAGCGGCGCTGATGCAGCCGATGCAGCCTGCTCGAGCGCTGCGCCGCCGCCGCCGCCGCCGCTGCAGCGTGGGGGCCGCGGCACCTGCAACAGGAACTCTCTGACTGGTGCCAGCAGCTGGTGAAACACGCCCGCCGAGAGGCAGCGCACGTCAGACGCCCCAAAGTGGCCGACCAGGTCGCCTTGGCGCCCCACCACTGCAACGCCCGACACGCCCTTGGCGTGCATCACTCTGCGTGGGGGGAAATAAGGGTGGCAGATAAGCTGGGGTGGCCAAGAGCTGTCGTTTAAAATCACAAAGCACAGCAGGGCCAGGGCTCTTGTGGCCCCTTACCTATTCAGTCAAGAGTGGCCAAGCTGAGAGCGGCAAAACCCGACTCATTCGCTGTAGACGCAATGAGCGCCAAGATGGGCACGACCTGCGCACCTGAGGGCGTCCAGTGCGCTCGAGCTCTCCGGCACAGTCACCAGCTTCCACCCCACGGCCCTGCCGCCGCCGCTGTGGCTGTGGCTGTGATCGCGGCCAGCGCAGGGGCCGCCGCCGCCGCCCAAGACAGTGGGGCATTGTGCTGCGTCTGTCCTGGGGCTCGACGCGCGCGCCAGTCCCGAGTGCCGCTCAGCGGTGGTGCGCCGCCCGTTGCCAGCCAGGGCGCGTCCGGCCAGGCCCAGCACGGCAAGGGTGCTGTTTGCCAGGTCACCCGACGAGGCCAGGTTGGCGGCCAAGAACCTTGAATTCAGGATTACCAAGGTGGGGATTTTCAGGTGAGGAGGGGGGTGTCAGTCGTCGGTTGCCAGGAGGAACGACTTGCCGCCATGGCTGCTGCACCCACCACGCACAAGCCTTGGCAGGCTCCACGCAGCCCGGGTGATGTCTATGACGTCGCAGCCAGTCATGATGGTGGCAGGTCACATGGCGCCCCAATACTCCTTGGCAGCCCAGCCACACCCCCAAAGCCAGCCCCATATCCCCACCTGACGATGTCACTCTGAGACACAACGCTGACGACCTCCCTGCCTGGCCCCAGGACGAGCAAGTGCTGCGAGTGGCTGTGCACAAACGCGCCTACCACGTCCAGCAGGGACGCCTTGAGGTCCACCGAGGGCCAGGCACACCCCGCCTGCGCGCATGCGCCAGGCGGCGTCGTGGATGCAGCGCTCGCAGAGGGCGTGCGAAGCAGGCTGGCCAGCGGCAGGGCGCACAGCCGGGCGCCGGCAACCTCCAGATCAGCAGCCGAGGGCGGCCATGTCAGCTCTGGTAGGCCTGTAGTGCACAGCATGGGAACGCCAGGGGGGTGCATGCTTGTTGGCTCGGCCCCACTTGGGTATCAGCAATGCCCCCTCCTGCATGCGAGCTTCCTTTGGCGATAAGCGCCATACCTCTCCCATCATCGCATTCCTATCAAAACTAGAAATGCCCCTGGATTTCGCCACTTGATTGTGTGTTACCTTGCAGCAGCTCCTCAATCACCGCGGCAGCCTCGACGTAGCCGCGCATAGTGGGCACTGGGAAACCGCCCTGCGACACCTCGCCGCTCGGCGTGGCTGCCACGCCGGCGCCTGCTGCTACGATGGGTGCGGTCCTCAGGCCCTCTGAGAGTAGCTTCTCCAGGGCATGCCCTACAGTGGCGGCGTCCGTAAAGGCAACCAGCTGTGTGCTCCCAGGAGGGCGCCATTGCCGGCCCCCCACCAGGAGGGAATCCAGCGCTGTCCCCCGCAACAGCTCCGTCAAATACATAGTGCCCTGTGCTTGAATGCCAGTAAGCCTAATGCGTTGCTCTTTTATGTCGTCGTGTACACGATCGCCGCAGTGCAGCGGGCTAAGCCGTTGGCCTTGACGACCCCCGGGATGAGCGGTGGAGGAGGCGGTGAAGGATAGCTCGTTTTTGTGTGAATATTTTGATGGTGATGTAGCGACACGCTGATGCTTCAAGCAGGATTTCGCCGTTTGCGCTTGATTGGCAGCTGCTCTTCGCTGCATGTCGTGGTGTGAAGACGAGGTGAACAAGAACGCCAACAACGGTATCGATGGCCTAGGCTTACACTGATGTTATGTATCTGATAATTTATCAACTTACACGCAGCATGGTGTTCAAACGAGGCTCCAGTCAACCATGACATCGAGCGTAGCGTAGACTGACCGGGGCGGAGAGTATCTGCTGTGAGGCATGGCCATGGCAGCGAGGAGTTCCCAAGTACCACTGCTGCTGCTGCTGCCGCTGCTGGCGCTTGCCGCCGCAACGGCGGCAGGCGCGCGAGTCGCACGTGGGGTCGATGCAAGCAGCAGTGGTGCAGAGGATGGCGATGATCCTGCAGCGCGCGCCGCCCTCATTGCGCTGTCAGATGCCCTACAACCCAGCCTGCAGCCAGGAACGCCCAGCCATCCGCCGTGGGGATCAGGCATTGGCAGTTATTGTGCATGGAGCGGCGTCTCGTGCTGCGCGCATGCCGCTGCGCTTCTGCCGGTGCCGTGCGCAAATGCGTCGGACGTGGTGGCGCTAAACCTCTCCGCCGTCGGCCTGCAAGGCACGCTGCCTGTCCGTCTGGGGGATTCTCTGGAGAGGTCGTTGCAGCTGCTGAACCTGGCGCACAACCCCGGGCTTGCGGGCGGGTGGCCGCCGGGACTGCTGTTGCCAAGCCTCGCGAGTCTGGACATTCGAGTGAGGATGAACGGGAAGGGGAACAGGCGCTGTCACACCGACACTGCTTGAGCAAAGACGCGGAGTGTCAGAACGGGAGCTGGTGTTGAGAGCTGGTGACGGACCCTGTGTGCCCTCTGCGGGCAAGCCCAAACTTCAACTTCAAGCCCAAAACACCCGCGCCCACCCACCCAGAACACCTCCCTAGTCGCATGCAAGGGCGGCGCAATAGCAGACCCCTGGGCAGAGGCGGAATTAGTCTCAAGCAACACCATCCCCAGAAGCGACGGCGTTGGTGGCATCATCCACCCCTGGCGGCGCGAGCGCGCAGCGGCGCGCGCCCTGGCCACTGTTGCGTGCGTTGTGCCACCCGCGCTGGTCCTGGCACCACCAAGGGACGACGATGCAGCGCCGTCCGACGCGCCGGCGCTGCTTTGCTCTGCGTCGCAACTGGCATCTGGAGGCAGCGTGCGCGCGGACGCAGCCTTCACTCGGTTCTCTGGCTGCCGCTGTGTGCATGCAGCCGACGCGCTGCAGCTTGAGGTGCAGGAGGCGGGGCAGGCACAGGACAGCGGCGCTACGACAGCCGCCTCGTGGCGCCTGTTCTGCGCCGACACCAGCGGGGAAGTGCGACGTTTGTGGACGCGCAGGACTGTGGCCGTGGGCGCTCTGCCGACAGCGGCCCTGCTGCTGCTGGTGCTATGCGTAAGGTGGGGCTGCGCATTCGCATGTATCCATGCTGTAGGGAACGCTCACGTGATCAAGCTGCTGCGCACATTTTTTAAGCGGCTTATTTGCATGACGTGCACCGCCACTTGGGCACGCGTGTGTGTGGCACACAGGAGGCGCTCCCTCGTCAGCGCGGCTCGCAAGGTGTGGGCTGCACGCCGGCATGCTGAGGATGCGCGCCTGGCGGACAAGCTGAGCCGCTTCCCTGGAACCCCAAGCGTTGCACTGGTGCGGAAACGCTAAGCGGCCAAGGATTTTACAATGTGGGAATGGCTGGTAGGGTATGTACATTCTGGAGCATTGGTACCAGCGTGGCGCTGCACCAGCGGCTTGACGTCCCTCCGTATCGCGCGTCACATGCTGCAACTCAAGGGGCGTGGTGAAGGCGTATTGTCGGTGGCCGATGTGATGGTCACGTGGGTGGTTACAGACGTGGAGGGCAGCACACAGCTGTGGGAGTGGGACGCTGATGTCATGGATGACGCGGTGGAGCGCCACAACAAGGTGGGGTGGGCGGACGGGCGGATGGTGGAAGGGGTTGCTCGACATGAGCTCAGTAATGTGGTTGTATCCCCCAGCGAGTGGCCTTTGCCCCTGTTCAATCTTGGCGGGGGGGGGCGAACATCCAGTGCAAGGCACCCAGCTGTGTGGCCGGCAGCCTTCACCTGGATGCTGGGATCCCGACAACATTTGTCATCAACTCTCCTGCAATTCTGCCCACCTCCTCGCCCCTGCCACTTGAAACCACCAACCATGGGCAGATCTTGCGGGGGCTGCTGGACGTGCACGGCGGCCACGAGGTCCGCACCGACGGCGACTCCATGTGCGCTGCCTTCCACGATGCCGTGGACGCGGTGACCTGGGCTGTCGCAGCGCAGGCAGCGCTGCTGGCGCACCCCTGGCCAGCCCGCCTGCTGGAGCATCCCTACTGCGCGCCAGTGACGCTGGTGGGTCGAGGGCCGCAGGGTGGCGGAAGCTGATGCAAGTCTGAGCCAGGGCAATTGCGCGCGCATTGCACGAGCAATGCCGCAGGCGGGGCCCCACGCATAAAGCCCTGGCCGGCGTTTCACAAGGGACGCGCGATGTCCGTGTTTGTCCCCGATTATGCAGGGTGATGCATGCCTTGCGGGCATGGCGAATGCGGATCTGGCGGGCACGGCGCAGGCGCATGATGATGCAGCCCGTCGCGCACTCGCGGGCCAGGGCCCGGTGGTGATGGCAGGGCTGAGAGTGCGCATGGGCATAAACACAGGTGGGTCGCCCCGCCACAGGAAGGCCGAATAAGTTAGGATTCTCACATGCCCCGCGGTCGCCCACGTCTTTGGCCTGGCTCATGGGTCAAAGTTTGAATTTAGGGCCTGATGCGGAGACAACCCGGCAAAGTCATTGTTGTTGACACTTACAAACCGCCTGTATGCAGATACGTTTCGTGATCAGTTTTGTGCTTGCGCATGGTCTTTGCCGCTGACCTTCCGCGTTGCCGCCACTTCCTAGCTGCACATTTGAACTGCAGCCTCCTCTGATCGTCGCTACACCCCATGAACCCAGGTGTTCCAGAAGACGTGTTTGTGCATGACGTGACGGAGGCTATTGAGTACCACGGGGTGAGCAGAGTTGGGGGTTGCGCAAGGGTGAGAGGGGGAGATGGCCGCGAATGTTCGCAACACATCTGTGTGAGGCAATTGAGTAGGGTGGGTCCCCTTTACGGAGGATCAGCATCTCAGCTCACCTGCAGCTCACACTGCATGTGCAGGAGGAGTATGACCTGGCCACTGACATCAGCGACATGGCGGCAGGCGGCCAGATCCTGCTGGGCCCCAAAACCTACCAGCGCTGGAACAGGGTGTTCAGCCAGCAGCATCACGGCTCGGGCGGCACCCACAGGCCGACGTCACGCGGTGGCATGCACCGCGAGCGGGCCGACTCGCCGCCCCCACACCCTGCGGAGCGGCCACAGACCGGCTACCCTCTTGGGTGGCGCGGGTTGCTGCGTCCCGGCCAGTCGCTGACGGCCTCAGATGAGGGCAGCCTCCAGGAGCCCCCGTCACCGGCTGATCCGGCAGGAGACGGCAGGAGCGGGGCTGGAGGTGCAAGGCCGCGCGAGATCGCGCACGACGCAATGTGGGCGGCGCTCAGCACTGCGCTCCCTGGTAGCAGCGGCAGGGGCGGGGGCGGCAGCTTCGCCAGCAGCGGCGACGTCACCGGATCCCGCCTGCAAGCCACATCAGCGGCTTCCGGGTCACCAGGTCCAGCTTCTCGCGGGGCCAGCCTCCTGCAGGCCGCCTCATCACTAGAAGATGCTGCATCCCTGCGGCTGAGCACCATTTCGCCAGGCAGCGGCCGTGGCGGCAGCTTCGCCCGCGCCCCGAGCTTGCTTCAAGAGGACCGAGCGTTCAGATCGCCACGTGCCAGCCAGGCGCGCGGCTCTGGCGCGATATCTTTCTCTGTGCACGGCCCCAGCGGCACAGCCACGCTGCTGCCGCCAGTGCGGACGCTTCAAATCAGGTCACCCATGACGCCATCAGGTGTCGTGTTGGCGGGCAGCCCTGGCATCAACGACAGCAACAGGGGCGCAGCCCTGCGGCGTGCCATCTCCCTTGGACGTCGCTTGGCGCCTGCCTTGGAGCGAGTAGGTGACCGTGACTGGGATTTGGAGGGTGTGCAGCGGTCCGCGGTATCACACTGTGACAAGCTGGCAAGGGAGGTTGAGGCGCAGCGCCACGCGGCTGCTCAACAACAATCTGAGCAACAGCAGCATCAGCAGCAGCAGCAGCAGCAGCAGCAGCAGCAGCAGCAGCAGCAGCAAGGCAGGCCCGTGGGAGAGGGCACCGAAGTCGTGCAGAAGGCACCTAGGGTGAGCGAAGTCTTTCCTGGCTCCCTGCTGCTGGAATCACGGCCAGTGGTGGCGGCAACGGTCCCGCACGCTGTTTCAACGGGCGAAGTCCATGTCACCCTACAGCTGGAAAGCGCCACCCCAGCCAGCAAAGGTGAGGTTTGACGACGCTGCGCGCCTGAATGAATTGGGCATTCAACTTGTGAGTGTTCACATGTTGGACTTACATTCCTGGAATTCTGGCTTACTGGTTCCACCTGGCCAACTAGCTCAATCTCGATGATCCTGCAGATGCCAACAGCCAAGCATCGCTCGCATCGCCAATGGCTGGCGCGGCTCGAGTTTCGGCCCACAGCAATGCCAGAAGCAGCCTGCTGCTGTCGCCTGGGGCCAGCTCGCCGCGCCACCACCGGCCATGGGATGTTCACCAACAGGGTGGCTTCTTTGACCGGGACAGCAGCAGGGGTGGTAGCTACATGGGCGAACCCTTGACGAGGGCTGGCAGCGCCGCAGCCGCAGCCATGCGCGGCATGGGTGCGTATGTGCGTTCGTCGTTTGCAGCTGGCCGCGCTGCTTTTTCTTTTGCAAGGCGTGGCTCGTTTGGCGTCCCGGTGAGAAAAGGGTGGAAATGCAGTGTGAGTGGGAACGGGTGCTCATGCATGACAGGCTGTCGAAACGCTTACGTTGGTGCATGCATGCATGCAAGTGGTTGTGCATGTGCGTGCTTGCGTGCATGCGTGTGTGTTTGTGCGTGCGTGCGTGTTGTGAGGCAAGTGCGTGTTCGCTTCACCCCCAACACAGTACGTGGGAGGCTGCGGGACTTTCAGCCATTGATGGCCCTCTGACACTGGTCCTTGCGGCCCTGAAGCAACCTTGGAGTGTGTTTGTGTCTTCAGCACAGCGCTGACTTTCCTGGCGCTCCCTGCTTGCCCCTTCAGCGCTCCTCTTTTGAGAGCACGAGTGCGCCTGGCACCAGCAGCGGCAGAGGCGTGCTTCTTGTGGACGTGGGCACCTACCGCTGGCGCGACGACGATGGTGGAGATGAGGATGCAGTTGCGGGCCCCAAGGACGACCTCCACCTCAACGGCAGCGCCGCTGTCACTGATGCTGCCGCTGCAGATGGCTTCGCAGAATATGGCAGCAGCAGCAGCCCAAGGCACGTGCACTGGCCTCAGCTGGGGGACGTCTCAGGGGTGCCAAGCCCCAGCGGCGCGGGTGCTGGTGACCCTGAGGCGGGCGAGACGCATCCGCAGCAGAGCGGCGCGGCCCCAGAGCTTCACCTTGTCCAGGTCCTGCCCGACAGCCTGTACGCACGGCTGCTGCTCCTGCCCTGGCCGTTGCCAGCATGCGTCGGAGAGGTGCGTGCAAGTGGAAAGCGCGGTGGGAGGGCAACCCTTGGAAATGTGTGGTCCTTGCCATTGACGGCTTTGTTGCTAGGTGACCCAGACAAGGCCACGTGCGTGCGCCAACACCCTGCTGTACCGCACTGTTTCTCCTTCTTGCAGGATCCTCTGCTTGAGCAGAACGCACCTGGCTTCCTGGATGCACCAGGTACACAACAAACCTTGTTGTGGGCGTGCTGCCCGCGCATTGTGATTATCCTTTCACAGATGTCTTCATCTTTGCTTGTAGACTGTGCTTGCATGGACCTGCTCACCTACTCACCCTGTGTTCCCCCTTCCCCCTATGTGTCCATGTGCGCATCGCCCGCCTCATGTGCGCCTTAATCCCCCTCCGGCCCCCAGGCGCATGGTCGTCCTACCCCGGCCACATGCGAGACTTTTGGGAGACGCAGGGCCTAGCGCCACTCCCGAAGCCGCAAGTTACGCTGGTGTTTGCCAGCGCTGTGGGGCTCAAAGAGGTGGCAGCCGTCAACTTACAGGTGGGTGAGCCTCGTCCAGATCAACAACTTGAATCCCTCCTTGGATCCTGGGGACGCAGTTGCTGCTTGCAGTTTGTTGATGGTTTCGGACTCGTTTGTGCTTTTACACAGTCGACAAGCCTTCTCAATCTTTAAAACTGCCGTACGCAGCTGTCGCGCACCTGCCACGCCCTCTTCATGCGCACCGCCCGCGAGCTACTGCTGGCTTGTGGCGGGTACGAGTCAAAGGAGGTGCAGGGCCTTGTCATGGCAGCCTTTGATCGCCCCTCTGACGCTGCCGAGTGGGGACTGGCGCTGCAGCTCGCCCTCTTGGAGGCCCCCTGGCCCCGCGAACTGGCTTTGCTGGGCGCCGCTGCAACTGTGCATCCGCCCCAGGCGCAGCTCAGCGCGTCGCCGGTCCCCAGCGCCGCCAGGGGCGCACCGGGCAGCGGGACACCGGCAGGCAGCACAGTGACAACGCCTGTGTTTTGCGACCAGCTGGGGACCCGGGCCGCGACGCGGCCCCTGTTTTGCGGCGTGCGCGCGCGAGTGGGCATATTCCACGGGCCCATCGACCGCGTCGTGCCTCACGGCAAGAGCGGGCGCGCAGACTACCTGGGGCCACCTGCAAACCGTGCTGCCCGGCTAATGGCGGCAGCGCAAGGCGGGCAGGTCCTGATGGAGTCCAGTACGGCGCAGGCAGTGCTAAAGGAGTGGGCAGCACGCGCAAGACAGCAGCAGCAGGGTCTGCAAGACGCACAGCAGCAAGCAGCACAGCAGCAGCAGGCACCGCCATATGTTGCACCTATGCTGAGAGAGGCGCAGGCGGCAGGCGTTGGGGGCATGCAGTGGCGGGCCAACCCGGCGTTTGTGGCCGGTGGGGTGCCCCTGACCGCGCCCTATCCGGCTGCGGACGTGTTGCCGCCCCTTGAGGCAGCCACCACTGTGCCTGCAGAGGTCGGGGTCCCTGCGAGCACGGCACACCATGCCACGTTTGCCAATGACGCGGCTTCCGGTCTCAATAGAAAAGCTGGTCTGGCATTGCATCCTGACAAACCTGCAGCGGCAGCAGTGGCGGCAGCAGCAGGAGCAGCAGGAGCAGCAGGAGCAGCAGGAGCAGCAGGAGCAGCAGGAGGAGCAGCAGCTGAAGCAGAAGCCGTCTCAACATCTGGGGCGCAGGCGGTGGGGGCGGCTGTTGTTGACGTTGCGCTGCCCGCCGCACCTGGCGGCCCATCGAACAGCCAGGGTGACCTTCACAAATGCAGCAGCAGCGGTAGCGGCAGCCCCGCCCGCGGACCGCTCTTCAGCGGCAACGGCAAGCGCAGTGTCAGCAGCGCCGGGTCCAGCATCGGCGAGGCAAGTGCGCTGGCCACATCACCACCAAGGTACGATGTTGCAAAATCGCTCCATGCACCCTGATCAGGCACAGCTGTTGAATGATGCTTGGTCAATCCACGGCAAGTGCACGTGCTCAGTCTTGCCTGCCGCCACTTTGCGCACTGTGCAGGCACGATTTGAGCAGCTGGATAGGTGCGCCTTCTCTTGTTTCCGGCGAGGTGGCAATCGTGCCCGCCCCATACAGCCCGTCAACAGGGATGCGGCGCAAGTCAACAGTCGGCTGCAATGGCAGCAGCAGGCGAATCAGCATGCATCCGCGAGCATCAGTTGAGCTGTGGATGCCGTCTCCTCAGCAGCAGCAGCAGCAGCAGCAGCAGCAGCAGCAGCAGCAGCAGCAGCAGCAGCAGCAGCAGCAGCAGCCGTACAATCTGAGCTACAGCGCTGATGTCAGCCATGCGCACCACGGAGAGCACACACCCCGTGGCTCATCGCGGTTGAGCGTGGCCGTGCTGATGCACGAGGAGGGGCTGCTCCAACCGCGATCACAGG